GCAAGATGAGAAATCTGCGTTGATGCCCATCCAAACTGGAAGATTACAACGAATGGAGCATAATACAAGAATAAAGCCGTTCTGCTTGCGTTCTCACATGTAATACACAGATTAAAAATGAATGGRAAACTTAACACAACACACGTTACACCAACAAGATGCCATATTTTCCGCCTCCCATATGTGCAGTTGCCTGTTCTGTCCGATTCAAGGCCGACTAGAGGAGTTGCAATGGCATCGGCGACTTGTCCAACAAGCATTAAAGTTCCTGCAGCGATATTTGAAAACATCACAACTYTATGGAGGTAAAGAAGTAGATATGTGAACCACATAGACGCACATAAGTCATTCAGGATATGTCCAACACCGTAGCAAACTTTCAGTCGAAGAGTCAATGGGGAAAGACGAACGCTTGTTGAACTGTCCTCCATGTTGTATATCAGAAGTTCTCAGGTCACGACAGAAAAACTCGAAAGTTCTTGGTCTAACTCAACATCATTTAACGYAAATTGAATTGTTATTGATGGGGCTATTACAGCCTTAAGTAACATTAAAGAGGCTCGTGATATAGTTGATGTTTAGTGCGCTTTTGTTGACAATCTCGTACGATCGTCTTGTGACCCTCATCAGTAAACAATTTTTCCTGTCGATTTCCGTCAGTCACGTGAAATATGCAAATACTTTACGGTCGGGGGAGGGCACGGGAAACTCAGAGAATCTTGAAAAATCCTAGGAGCAAATAAAACCATGACAGCTAAGATTAAAAACAAAAACGTCAAAAACGACAATTTTCCAAAAGATATAGGTACAGAAAAAGTGAACTGTAGAATATACTGACTCGTGTTAACTGTGTTTCGACAAGCCCGTCACAAAAATGGCATTTCTATAATTTCTCATTTCCTTCATATATTTTCAGCTTCCAATCACTTTTTAAAATTATTTGGTTCTATATRTATTATTTATTTACGTTGCCGTAGTCACGTTGTCCTTGTCTGCCCAGACGTACAATTGTCACTGCATGTCACTGCACATGACTTGTCATAATTCTGGCCTTGCCGTATAACGGAATTTCATTCTATGAAGATTGAAAGCGATTCGGTTTGGAGAATTGAGTGTCAATTGTAGATTCACAGCAAACTACTGGTGCTATCCCTTGTCCCTCCCCTGCCCACGCCACTGAATTCCAAACTCAGGTACCGAGGCAAGGTTGTCACATAAGCATGATTGTTATGATAACATGAATCACATTCACTGCTGAAAAAAGTATCTAAAATCTCTCTCACATGTGTAGCGTGTTCTTACCCAGCATGAGAAAGTCAAACGTATCGTACATGTGATTTCTGTTGTGCATCAAGCTTCGATGTCACATGATATATAGTTGCATGCCTTCCCAAGAGTCTTAAATACTTTGGATGTGTTCCTTGTCCTCAAGCTCTTTTTGTTATAGTCATTGCACAGGTTTATACAGCGGGCCCACTTATTGCATTATCCCATATTGCGGCCTGAATTGCGTGGGCTATTTTCATGGTATCGTTTTTACCGATTTTTTTGTAACGTGAAAGCTTAGCAAATCACAGGTAGCCCAAGCACTACACTTGTCGGCTTTTCTCTGAAGGTCTTGTGGGGAAAAAACGAAAAAAACTGCTTTTTTTCTTAATGTTGGTCCCCTAGATAATAAATACTACTAGCTGAAACTTCGCATAGATGTGTAATAAATTAAGAACAACATATTGTGTGAGTTTGAATTCATTTTATTAAGATTTCCTACTTTTATTGAATTTTTCGTTTTTTCCCYACAAGACCTTCAGAGAAAAGCCGACAAGTGTAGTGCTTGGGCTACCTGTGAGCAAATTAACTGTCGCCCATTTTCCTAAGCAGAACTGAAAAGCATCATGGGAAGGATTTTCCAAATGCCTGATAAAAACAGTGCTTATAAAAATGTCCTCGAATGAATGCCATTCATTTTAGAAGTCAATATTAAATGTACTCACAAGAAATTATTTTATTAACTTCAATCAGAAACTTGACGTGCCAACCGTTGGAATTGATTCAAAAGTCAAATTTGCATCTCATTTCCATATTTGGAACAATTCAATTTGCACTGGCCAACCAGAACGGGCCTTAAAACATCTCTTAGAGAGGATTTCGTATGAGTGGGAAACGGACGGTACTGTACTGTGTCCGTAACCGTACTGTAACCAAATTCTAGTGCCCCATTGTTTCACCAAAATTCTGCGGCCAGGTCCGATAACTGTGCGGTAACCGTGCGGTAACGGTGTCCCACTCATACGAAATCCGCTCTATCTAATATGGTCACAACGTTCGTTTTGGAATTTTTAATGAGCTTTGAATATTCCGACGCTTGGTACTAAAGAGATGTACGGGCGTTACACGTTTCAAGTCCCTTATAGGTTTCTGCTTCAATAAAATGATAAAATACCAGGAAATCTCTAACGCGGAAAAATATTTATTATAAGCACATTTATTAACATTATCATTTTTGACTTATTCTGACATTTTTTTGTCTCAGTGAAAGGGGATTTGTTCTCCTGTTCCTCACTCTATTTGGTGTTGCATTGTTCCCTAAATTTTTTTGCACTTTGTTTACTTGTTTCCGTAGCTAAATTTACATTGTCCCCCTGTTCCCTAAAAACCCCTTTGGGACGCTCAATAACACGCCTAAAAATGGCATATATCGTTGAATTTATCGTGTTTTTTTTTGCCCAATTTTTATCAATTTATGATTGATTTGTTACCCAGGTCCGGCAACCACAAGCTTTGAAAGTTCATATTTTTCTCATGCATTTTCACACGTATTCATTTCTTACAAAGATGTTTCACGGCTGACGCCTAACCCCATTGAGTATGATCAGCAATGATACTGCTATGGCTGAGGATACACCAATGATAACACTTTTGGTTGCTGATGTTTTGGGAACAGCAACAAGATTAGAAGAAATGGCAAATTTGGTTGAAGTCGATTCATTGGATGCAAGAATTGCTCCTCCAGTTGCATTGGTAAGTCGAACAAAAATGGTCCTTTCATCTGTTTTTTCTTTATCACTTGTGACTACCACTGAGATAGAAGCGTCCCACTGACCTTCCTGGAATTGTACTTTCCCTGATTCAGGCCACATTATTTTGTGAAGGTCTGAATGGTTGCTGTGGAGAGACCAGTAGACCTCAATGCTTCCCGATGAGCCTTTGGATCTTTTGACCGGTAATTCGATCTCCTGGGCGCTTGATTGTCGATCGATGTAGATATTTCCATTGGAATCATACACTGGAAAGACAATAAGATCATTATGAATAATGGTTCTTAGATTCATGGAGGACATGGAAAAGGCTTTGTATACAACATCATCTAATGTAGTAGAGCTCTAGGTCTTGAGGGCAATTCTTTCAGAGCTTAAGACAAGTTTGGAAATGTATTTACACTGGAAAAATCAAACAAATTCCATAGTATGTAAATAATTTGTAAAAGTGAAATAAACCACTTGAGATATTGGGAAAACACTCAAAATGCTGAAAATCTCTCGTCTCCGGCTCGAGATTTTTTACGCCTTTTTCGTGTTCTCCCAACATCACTTGTGGTGTATTCCACCAGGAACGCACGAAAATGTGTTGTTTATAGTTTGGAAATAGCTGTGGAAAAATGTATATAGCTCAATAATCGGAGTTCAACAACGAGAACCTGGATAACCACAAATAATCACAATACATTAAAACAAGTACAAGTCACTTCAGAGCATTTCCTCCACCTCGCCTCCATTGCAATGTTGCTTCCAATCCATTTTCATCTTAATTTATGATCATTTCAGAGTAACCCCGATATATATAAAACCTCGCACTAACATTGTAGGATGGTGGAGGATAGGAGAGAAGAATGGGGGAGATTGAGCACTGGTAAAATAACTTTGATATGTTGCCCAAGGTGTTTGTCTATGACAGTAGCTTTACAGTTTAACTTGTTATAAGGTTGTAACAG